GTTTATGGTTGAGTGTGGGCATGTAGAGGGTAGAACCTGAGGCGGGACCTTGTGCACAAACTCTGAGGTGACGCGGTGCTTTATAAAGGAAAGATGCGCAGAAACATGCGTACGCACTGTTTTATAAATCTGAAATTTTTTTGGCGTACGCCATTTCCGCCTTTTGGCCGTACGTTCACTTTTAGTATGGTTTCCACGCACTCCTTTATAAATGAGACCCCAGGTGAGGTCACTGGATATATGCACACCCAGGTACCTGTAGCTGGAGACCACCTTTACAGCTGCTCCACCGATGAACAGGGGCTGAAGAGGGTCCTTGTCTCTCCTGAAACCATCACCATCATGTCTTCTTAAAGGTTATTGTCTCTGCACCACTGCACCAGATGTTCCACCTCCTCTCTGTAACTGGACTCTTCGTTGTTTGCGATGTGTCCCACTACTGCTGTGTCATCTGCAAACTTCACTATATGACAGCTGGGGTGTCTTGCTGAGCAGTCATGTGTCAGCAGTGTGAAGAGTAGGGGGCTCAGCACTCAGCCCTGTGGTGATGGTTAGGGTCATGGAGGAGGAGACAGTGTTGTGGATCCTGACAGTCTGAGGTCTGTTGGTCAGGAAGTCCAGAATCCAGTTCCCCAGTGTGGGATTCAGTTGAAGAGAGGAGAGCTTCTGCACCAGGGTCTGAGGGATGATGGTGTTAAAGACTGAGGAGAAATCCAGAAAAACAGATGTAAGCGTTTCTGCTCTCCCGGTGGGTGAGGGCTGTGCGGACCACCAATGAGATGGCGTCAGCAGTAAAGCGGTTCTTTATGTAGGTGTACTGATGTGGGTCATGACTAACCTCTCAAAGCACTTCATGACTACCGATGTTAATGCTTTTGGTCGGTAGTCATTCAGGCCTGTCACTGGAGCGCTTGGGGATAGGAGCAATAGTGGCAGCCTTTAAGCATGTGGGGACAGATGCCAGTCACAGTGATGTGTYAAAGATATCTGCCAACACCTCAGACAGCTGATGAGCACAGTCCCTCAGTACCTGCCCTGGGATGTTGTCAGGGCCTGCAGCCTTACAGGAGCTGATTCCCTGGAGGGTCCTCCTCACATCTGCTACAGTCACACAGAGAGGCRTGTCACCAGGTGGTGGTACGAGTCTGATGCTGAGGAGGGTGCTAGGATCCTCAAAATGGGCATCGAACTTATTGAGTTGGCCGAGAGGGGCCCCTTGGGCATTGTGAATCCTTGATGTTTTAGTTTGTGATGCACTTGATGCCCTTCCACATGCTCAATGGGTTGTTGGTGGTGAAGTGACCTTGAACTTTCTGGGCATATGTGGCTTTGGCCCTCATTATTCCTGCAGTTCTTTCCTTGCTTCTCGGAGTGCTGATGCCTCAGCTGACCTGAATGCAGCATCCCTAGCTTTCAGCAGAGTTCTCACCTCAGCAGCCAGTCTCCAGACCTTAATCTCATCGAAAACCCACTGAAGGAGCTAAAGCTCCAAGTTGCCAAGCAACAGCCTCAAAGTCTTAATGCAAAGAGGAGTGGACCAAACTTCCTCCTGACGTGTGCAAAACTCATCAACTACAAAAAGTGTGACTGCTGTGCTCGCCAACAAGGTACTTGCCACCAAATATTAAGTCTCGTTTGCTAGAGGGATCAAATACTTATTTCTCTCAGCAAAATACAAATAAGTTTATATAATTTATACAATGTAATTTTGTGGATTTTTTTAATACACTGTTAAAATTAACCTACCCCTCAAATTATAGACTGTTTGTCTTTGTAAGTGGACAAACTTGCAAAGTCAGCAAGAGATCAAATATTTATTTCCCCCACTGTACACACACACACACACACACACACACACACACACACAC